CTTTGCTGTTGGAGTGATCGAAAGTAGGCAAGTAGGGCGAAGTTATTGTATTTTTTATTTTATTTTACTCGTAGACTAAATTAGGTAATGTTGGTATAATAACAAAGGACATATTTTTAAACTATCATAGATTAATAGGTATCTATTGTTCTATTACATCCACCTGCTGCGTAGTAGTTAGATGTATGATAAAAATAGAAGATACAAATGAGGATAAAGTCTAAATTATGAAACATAAACAATAACGAGCATGTTAATTAAACATCAACTTAACAACAATATATTTGTATATTAATTTATTATAGCTTATAAATGTTAAATTATGATAAAATTCTACCATTTTTATAAACATGAAACTTTGTGAGGATGAATAGATGTTTGTTTGAACGGATTTGAATGACATTTTTTACACGAATAGGTTATATTCTAACTTAGAATATTATATGATATATTGTAGGCATATAATATATAATTATAGGCATATTATATTTATCAATTGTAATGTGTAATATAATATGTACTCAAACGAATGTAATATTTCATTAATGGACGCTATTATTGCCATAATTTCTGAGTAATCAATTTTTTATCTCGCACGAGCTTCGGAGACGGCTGAAATAGAATATGTTTTGATAATGCTGACTGCCTTTCAGCATTTGTTTCGTATACTAATGTAGTGATAGCAAAATAATTTATTAGCCCGCATAATTCTTACAGTCTTGTGTTAAGGAAATAGTATATTGTTGAATTGTGCTTTTAGGTATGTAAATACTAATTGAAATTGAAGGGGGGAGGGGATAGTCAGTATTGGATTTTTTAATGGATGTAAACCAATAGTGCCCGTCTATGGATGATATATATATATATATATATATATATATATATATATATATATATATATATATATATATATATATATATATATATATATATATATATATATATATACCTACCTTCTTCCTACCCTTATCCCAATCATTTGCGGTCGGCATAATATGATTTTATCCATATTACAAAAAGATTTGGTTTTTAGTTTTACAACCGGCCACCTGCCTGACGTCAACCCTCTTTGGATATATATATATATATATATATATATATATATATATATATATATATATATATATATATATATATATATATATATATATATATATATAGTATACAGAGTATACGGTCTTGTCTATGATATCTTTCACGCGTGTTACTTCTAGAAGATTAAGGTGTTACGACTATAAAATTATCTACTTATACATGTAAATATTTATGGTATAAGTAAAGAAGTATATTCTTTAATTAGAAACTTTGTCGTTTTTAATTTATAAACCTTTATGAGACTATACGTTTGTTTCAAATGTATCACATAAATAATGGTAAAAAAATGTGAAATAAATAATGCAAGTTTTACAAAACGAATTTTCAAAATCGGTTTAGAATTGTCGAATATATACTGCATACCTATTAGCATGTAGGTAATACATTAAAATATTTAGGTGATATGATAAATAAAAATAAATTTAAAGTAATGATTAATGTGGTTGCCATAGTTCCCGGTCTATCGAATCAGTAAAGGTAGGTACTCGAAGGAGGATGTTAGCTAGGTTTTCGATTGGAGGCCGTGTATGATGCGAGTACTCTTTCTAGACTGAGTGGACAACAAAAACACAGTTGAAAGTGGATAGCCGGGGATCGATGGTATAAGTGTTGGAATGGAAGGCTCCAAGGGTGGATATAATGAGATGATTATGGAAACGATAGGTAATTGTCTATATTATTAGAAAATTAAAAATGAAATTTTCATTGTTAAAGAAAAGTGTTTTATAGTTTTATTTAATAAATTTAATGAAATTGTAGACAAACAAACAACTGATCCGGCCACAAGGCAGTCTGTTTATATTATTTGGTAATACAAATTAAAAATCGATTTTTAGTTTATTGAATGTTTCGATTTGTTACTAATTATATTTAGACGTTGTTTCTCATTTTCATTAAGTTCTATTGAAATAGACTATAAATAATAAATTTTGTTCAATATTTTTGTATACTTACTTATACCTATTTGAGAGCCGTATTATGTTTATGTTCAGACATATATGTATGTATCAATTGTCATCATAATCGTCATCAGACGAGAGGTGCGTCGAATCAAAACATGCTTTATACAATTAGCCTAGGCTAGCTTTATTAGTAAATGTAAGAACATCTGACCAAAACATGGCAAGGTTCCACGGTCCCGATGCGTCGTTGAACTATTTATATTATTTATCGATTAGTATATTATTAGTTATCAGAACATTCTAGATGTTTTCTGTAACTCCACTAGCGTGAAATTCTAGAAAAGGGACGTTATCACTTACAGTGGAATATCAAAAAACTAGTGAATTTTTTTACCTCATCTTACCAATATAAGAAATTTGTAACTAGACAATGTCTGTACATGGTAGGTGTTTAAGGAAAAATAATATAAAGGTTTTATGAGATCATTAAATGCTAAAACAATATTTTTTGGGAATTTTGTGTTTGTTTCGACATGCACCAAATTGAATACGGTTTATTGTTTTTTTTTTTTTATACAACTTAGAATGGCTAACAAGCTAACGGCCCACCTGATGGAAAGTGGTAACCGTCGCCTATAGATAAGAGCAGTACCATGGACATAACAGAGTATACTGTTTCGCCCATGATACCCCCCATGCGTTGCCATTCCTGAGGACTCAGATGTTATTCCTCTGTACCTGTAAACTCACGCCATATCCCACCCTTCAAACCGAAACACAGCCATGCAAACCCAACTGCTTCATGGTAGAAACACGAATGGGACAGAGGTACCCAAGCATATTGATGTGCTATTTAGATGTGGTCTGTTTAATTGGTTTTCTTACTTCTGAAGTTCGCGCTTACGAATTAGCGGGCAAAAAGTTAATTACAAATAAGTCTAAATATTGAATTATAAAAAAAGATTGAGTTTCGAACTAAACCAAGACTATTATGTTATGCCACCTATATAGGCAAATCTACTTTAAAAAATCAGCGGTTTTATTTGTTTTGAACAGCTTAACAGGTATACATTGCCTCGTAATGTCTGCGAGTGCAATCTTCCACAGGACATCCCAATAGAGACGACATAAAGTTATTTGTTTAAGTTTAGTGTCCTCCCACGTACACTTGGATTAGAATATTGTGGTTTTATTGTCGTGCTCATTGCCCACTTCCACTATTTCGTATAGACCGCTACATGATACGAGTGTAACAATCTCACTAGATCTTCAGGTTTACTGCCTTATCGTTATGAAGATTATTAATAATCCTATTATATCTTCACGCTACGCTTTACATTCTATTTTTGTTATGTTAATGCTCTAAGGATGTTTGAAGGCGTTGATTATCATCAGTTGTTCTCTCAGTTTGTATTAATCGGATATTATCTGAGTTATGAGTAACGAGAAATAATAAAAGAATAAATGTGTTTATTCCTAAGAAGATTGCAATATCTTACAATGTCATATTAGGAATCTATGAGCAGTTTAAAAGGGTTCCGAGAGCTTTTTTTTTAATTAGGGATTTAAAAAAATACTGGAACGCATCTTTTCGGATATGGGCTTAAAACCCCACTATAGTCGAATTATAATAGGATTTTCCTTTTATCATTCGCTCATGTAAATATAATAATTTGTTACTACAGAGGACAGGGATAGAGATTTTATTAATGGGGTCGGATAGCCCCATTGCCAGTAATATATCCTAGCAGATCGACTTCCACGAGATTCCCCCTGGAAACCATCGTGATTAATTTCTGTTGAATTCGCCACGTTGTGTTAACTGACCTGTTTTCATCCTCACCCATCATATGTCTCTGATGATCTGCCTGTTTATACCGGTAAGGTAAAAGGGGTTACCATTCCATGTTCACGAATAAAAAAAACTTTTTTTTATACAACTTAGAATGGTAAACAAGCTGACGGCCCACCTAAATGAAAGTGGTAACCGTCGCCTATAGACATGAGCAGTACCATGGACATAACAGAGTATATTGTTTCGCCCATGATACCCCCCATGCGTTGCCTTATCTTGAGGACTCAGGTGTTATTCCTCCGTACCCAGTAAATTCACGCCATATCCCACCCTTCAAACCAAAACACAGCCATGCAAACACAACTGCTTTACGGTTGAAACACGAATGAGACAGAGGTACCCAAACAACCGACTTTTGTACAAAGTCTCCCTCTGGTAAATAATCTTTAAATATTATATCTTTAGCGCGAGAGCCTCATTTTTTTTTATTTTATTTTTATTAATCTTGTGAATTGTGGTGCTTGCCTATGTTACTTTAATTATGATTCGTATAAAGTAGGCTTTTTGACCCTCCAGAATCCTGAATGAATACAAAGTTTTCAATTTTCATATTCAAAACTGACTGTCTTACATATTAACTTTATATTCCCGTCTACTTTTTATGGGATGAATTTTAAAAATCCTTTCTTATTACTGGTCTCCAACAGATTTTTTTAATGGATAATAATGGAATGGTTAGCCCGCCTGCGCTTGTGGTATACGCTGGCGAGGTGCCAGTGAGAGATGATCGGTGAGGATGAAAAGTCGCGATAGTTTCCAGGGGGAACCGCGTAGAGATCGATCTGATAGAATAAATTGGTATCAATAGGGACTAACCTTCCCATTAATAACAATCTTTTCCCCCCGGTCCCCAATAATTAGGTACATAAAGAAACTATTGATTGTATATTAGAGATAGAATGCTGTAGTTTCAACTTAACGATAACGATTCTATCCATCAGGACTTATCTCTTGATACTTACTATATACTAGTATTATAGAATATTACGTCTATTCAGACTATAAGAACATGAGCAATATTTTTGATAACAAAACTTGTTGTTGATTATAAGGAAAAAACATTGAAATTGATAAAGTTATCTCATAGATTGCTATCAGTTAGTAGAAATTTTGGAATTTTATAATATCTTATAATCTTACTTCCTGAAGATCCGCACGTTAACTACACACATCCGGTTAAACATTGTATAGCAAATACTTACCTATTTACCTGTCCTAGTTGTTTTTGTGTTTATAAATAAAAAGGGTACTTGCGAACTCTTTAAGCAAGACTTGTATTAACTGCTCTTTCATTTTTTTATTTTAAATCACTAGTAAAAGTGCAAAATTATACTAATATTTTACATTATTTTGAAAACTACAAATCGTGAACTATGGTAATGCAAGTGTTATGCTGAAGCGATTGAGTGGGAAGCGTTATTTACCGAAAATATCATACAAGAATTCAGTTAAAATTTCGTGCTACCCACAAAAAAAAAAAAAAAAAAAAAATAAAAAAAAAACCAAGTGCTTGAAAAAGTTAATAAGTGCGTTAAGTTTATACTGTGCGTTGACTTGCTTAAAATATTATTGAAATAAGTTATTCATCTCACCTGCAATTACATCATAATTTGTTAAATATGGCACCTACTACTATTAAATGTGCAGGATGTCGAAATGTTATAACAAGTAAGGAATATTTGAACTGTTCCAATTGTAAACAGAAATACGATATAGAATGTGTCAATATTGCATCCAAATATTTTTATTCGATGAGTAAAGATATTAAGAGTATATGGAAGTGCCCTGAATGTCAGAATAAAATACCGAAATCGGATAATTCTAATACTCCAGTACGTTGTCCGCGCTCTGATCTGCCAACGAGCCACGTGGTTATGGAAAGTACATCTACGATTGACAATATTACAACTCGTTCAAAGAAACAGAGGCGCTCTTCAGATAGCTCAGATGAAGGATGCCTTATAACTGAGGACAAACTAAAACGGATGTTGCAAAAAGAATTGAATAGTATACTTAGATCGACAATTCGAGAGATGATAACAGAACAATTAAACAATATTAATCAACAATTAACTAATTATCAAAATTCAGTGAGCTTTTTAAACGAACAGTTTGAAGTCGTAAGGAAAGGGATTGAAAACAACGTTACAACAATCGCTAAACTTGAAAAGGAAAATGCAGAATTGAAAACTACTGCAAGAGATCTATCATCAAGACTTTGTTTGGCTGAACAGCACCTTCGTGAGAGTAATATTGAGATAGGGGGCTTAGTCGAGCACAGATCTGAACATCTCCCAAACACAGTGGTCCAATTGGCAAAAATCGTGGGCAGTCCTATTGAGGACGTCGATGTCATGCAGGCGGTACGGGTAGCAAAAATCAATAAAAACAGTGATAAACCTCGTAGTGTTGTCGCAAAATTTCGTAGTCCACGAATTCGTGACGCAATCCTGGCTGCTGTTATCAGATACAACAAGGCAAATCCTAATGACAAGCTTAGTTCTCAACATTTAGGCTTGGGTGGGCCTCGTGTCCCCATATTTATATCAGAACACCTGACCCCCTCAAATAAGCAACTTCACGCTGCCACACGAAAAAAAGCTAAAGATCTGGGATACAGATTTGTATGGATTCGTAACGGACGTATTTATGTCCGTAAAGATGAGTCCTGCCAAGCACTTTTGGTGCGTAACTACGACAGCTTAAATCTAATGATGTAACTTATTATTACTATATTATTCTAATAAACTTTCTGGTAAATACGCTTCTCAACTTGCTATATTATCTTTTGGATTTTTTGTTTATTTTTTTGTTTTGTGTTTTGTATTTCTTTTTTTTTTATGGATATATATTATCAAAATACTAGAGGTCTAAGAACCAAAGTAAATGAATTGTATCATAATATTTTGTTATGTAATTATAATGTAATTGTATTGACGGAGACTTGGTTAAATTCTAACATTCGCAGTGGGGAAATAATCGATCAGCGATACCAAGTGTATCGTAGGGATCGTGTGATAGCTGCGGAGAGCTCGAAAAAAGATGGTGGCGGTGTACTTATTGCAGTGGATAAAACTATTAAATCAAATCGTATGCAAAGCTGGGAAAGCGATGTCGAAGATATGTGGATTGTAATGGAAATTATGAAAAATAACTCATTAAAGAAGGTCGCAGTCTGTGTGGTATATTTGCCTCCCCCGGTCAAATTGGAATCTCTCTCGAATTTTCTGAACGGTGCTAGTGATGTCTTGAATCAGGTTGACGATGTAATAATCCTAGGTGATTTCAATCTTGGTTTTGTTAGTTGGACCACTAATTCAGATAACACCCACTTGGTCCCCCAGAATTATCAAACACCATTGGGGTATGCTTTGACCGATTTTATCTCCATAAATTGTCTCCGGCAAGTCAATGGCATTTGTAACGATGAAGGCAAGATTTTGGATCTTGTCCTTACAAATATAGAAAGTTCAAATAGTGAAATCTCGGATAATGTATTGAGTAGGCTAGATCCAAGACATCCGTGTTTAATGCTACATATATCATTTGGTAAATCGGACAAGTTAGTTCCGAGGTATCGTAATACTTTTAACTTTTTTAAAGCAAATTACACTGGAATCGTTGGGGAACTGGGAGGGATTGATTGGCAGAAAGAGTTTAAACATTGTAAAGATGTCAATTTTTTTTTTTTTTTTTTTTTTCTAACTGTAAGTGTTGTTGGCCGCAGATGGCCTTTACAATTTCACCGAACGCGTGTGTGCAGGGGCGAGTGCGGATGGCACTCCAAGCCCGCGAGAGGGGAGCGACAGAGGTGTCGACTCTTTCTAATGGACTGCGGCGTGCGCCCGAGGGCGCCTAAGTGGCTCGAACCTCGGCTCGGGCCGCCGCACTTCGACCCCCGTCGAGGGACGGTGGGTCGGTGGAGCGATCGGGGGAACGAGGAGACGCCGCGGACGGCGCACTTTCGGGCGTATAGCGAATATTCCGCGAGCGCGAACCGGGTGTCATGAGTCTTCGCCCCCGCCGGCGGGGACGGTGTGTGCGGTGTGTTGGTGTGGTGGTTGCGGGCCCTAGGGACGAGAGTTCCGCGGTAGTTGGGGAGGACGCGTTTGCCTTAGTTATGGAATCGTCGGGGTCTAAGAGTGCGTGCCTCGGGCGACGACGTCTAAATGTGACGTTCACTCTCGGGGTGTACGAGCCCGCCTTGACTATCAGCGGGTTCGGGTGGGATTCGGTCGCAGCGAAGTAGCGTCGAGACGCTTCCTTCATGTACTGCTTAATGGAGGGGATCTTGAGATCGCGGTGGAGGTCCGCGTTGCGTACGAACCACGGAGCGCCCGTGATTAGTCGCAGACATTTACTCTGCACCGCCTGGAGGCGCTGCAGGTATGAATATGTGGGTGAAGACGACGCTAGCGTACGTCATCACCGGTCTTATGCAGGCTTTGTACAGTGTTAGCTTCGCGTTGAGCGAGAGCTTGCTGTACCGATTTAAGAAGGGATGGAGGCGACCCCGTATAAAGTTGGCTGTCGCCCGGATTTTTTTGATGTGTGGTGCAAACGTCAGTTTTGCGTCGAGAGTGACACCGAGGTACTTAGTCCTCGCGACCCAGGGAATGGGTGTGTCGAACATCCTAATCTGATTGGGAGGGGACAGATTGCGGTTCACCGTGAAGAACACGGCGGCGCTTTTGTCTGGATTGACTTCTATGCGCCATTTTCTGAACCATTGGCCCAGCTCGTCGGCCGCCCTCTGAAGGCTGTTGCCCACCAGGGCGGCCGACGGGCTGTCCACGTAGAGTGCTGTGTCGTCAGCGAAGAGGGCGAGTCGCACTCGGGGCTGGCGTGGGATATCGTTGGTGTACAACGAGAAGAGGGTGGGCGAGAGGACGGCGCCCTGCGGGACGCCGGCTCTGATCGGTCGTGCGCTGGAGCGCGCGCCGTTGACGCGGAAGCGGTAGGTTCTGTTCGACAGGAAGGCTCGTATGATGTGCACGAGCCTGTCCGGCACTCCCAGTTTGTGCAGCTTGTAGACTAGGCCGCTGTGCCAGACTTTGTCGAAGGCCTTCGCCACGTCGAAGAACAGGACACCGGTGGCCCCTTTGGGGTTATAGTGTCGGGCCTCTAGGATGTGCTCCACGAGGCGGTGAACCTGATGAACAGCTGAGTGCTTGGCTCTGAAGCCGAACTGTTCATCGATCAGTATGCCCTCGGACTGTAGCCAGTCTTTCAGGCGCGCGAGGATGAGCCTCTCATACAGTTTCCCCAGCGAGCTGAGGAGGCTGATGGGACGGAAGCTGGAGGGGTGGGACCTGTTTTTCCCCGGTTTGGGGAAACCTATCACGTCGGCCTCTTTCCAAGCCTCCGGAAAGATGGCATTCGTTGAAGATGGCTACTAGGAGTAGCAGAACGCGTTCGGGCAGGCTCTTGAGGAGTCTGTTCGATTCCGTCGGCGCCGGGCGCCTTGCGGGTCGTGGACTTCTTTATGAGCGTTTGCACCTCATCGAGAGTAACGGGGGGGAGTGTGGTAGTGGGTGGGATCGACATTATCCGCTCTACCTCCGATTCTACCTCCTGCATGTGACCGTCCGGCACCGGAAGGGTGCTCGGTGAACATTGGGCTTCGAGGCTGTCGGCTAAGCATTCAGCCTTGTCCTCGTCGAAAAGGGCGGGGTTATCGTTCTCTCGGACCAGTGGCGGTAGGTCCGAGTAGTCTTGGTCTGTTTTGAGAGATTTGGCTGCTCGCCAGTACGCGGTGTTGCTGGGGGTGAGCTCCCTAGTGAAGCTGTCCCACCTGTCTCGCCGAAGTTCCGCCATGCGTTCCTTTACGTCGCGTTGTAAAGTTCGCAAGCGGATTCGGTTTTGCTCTGATGGATAGCGATCGTAATATCGCGTGGCCGCGTTCTTCGCGCGCAGCAGAGCCCTTGCGTCATCAGGTAGGTTCCATCTGCGGTCTCCCGTGTCCGGAACCTCCCTGGAGCAGTCCTTGACTGCCGACTGCAAGTGCTCTGTGAGCGCTCCTATGGCAGCGTTAGTGTCGTCTGCCGTCTCGATGATGTCGGGGATGCGGTCCAGTGCCGGAGTGTCGATCGACTCGAGGACTTTCTCGAGCCGGCTCCAGTCTGTGACCGTTTTGAGTTTCGGCGCCCCGTCAGGTGGCGGGCCGAGAGTGACTACGACGGGGCGGTGGTCTGAGGTCAATTCGGCATGGACCTCCAAAGAACTCAGCCTCAGAGCTATGTTCTTTAGCAGGGCCAGGTCGAGAATGCAGGGCTGGTGCCGAGGGTTTACTGGATAGTGGGTCGGATGAAGCGGTGGCAGAATGTCGAACTCCATGGAGTGCGAGAGCCTCTCCAGGGTGTTTCCATTCGTGTTGGGACGAGCACAGCTCCAAAGTGTGTGCTTGCTGTTGAGATCTCCGGCTATTATAACCGATTCTCCCAGGTCCAGAAGGGACTGGAGGTCGGCGCGGAGGATCCGTTTGGTGGGAGGTAAGTAGGCCGATACGAGATAGATCGGCCGGTGGTCGGTCATTGCTAGGAGGCATACCGAGGCTTCGATGTTTTCGAGCGGAGGCGTGTCGATCGGGATGCATTGCAGGGACCTTCGGTAATAGATAAGCGTTCCGCCGTCCTTGGTGACGCGGTCGTCTCGCTTGATAAGATAATTGGCGATCCTGGGATCGCGCATCGAGGGTTTCAGGAAGGTCTCCTGCACGAGGAGAACGTCCACCTGATGGTCGGTGAGAAATTTGTGTACCTCGTCTTTTTGATGTTTCAGTCCGTTGGCGTTGAAGAACGCCAACTTAACTGACCGAGGTTTGCACCTTTTGGCCCTTAAGTCCATAATTAGGCTTCAAAGTTTAATATGGCGACTACGACGCCGATATGCTCGCAGACGGCTGCGAGTCTGTCCTGTGGGGCTGTAATGGTCCTCAGTTTGGAGGCCAGTGTGGTGATTTCGCCAGCGTCGATGGAGCTGGCGAGCTTCGCTACGAGGGCGAAGTCGGCTGCGAAGCCGGAGCCGCCGCTCGCTTTTGGTTGTGGGGCGGGGCGGGGTGGTGGCGGAGAGGCCACTATCTTGGCCAGGGTGGGCGCTGCAGGATGAGCGGGGGTCGAGGGGGTCGCTTTGACGACCGGAGGTCGAACCCACGCGTTTTTAGGCGGTGGGGGCGGCGCAGCGGCCGGCTGCGGGGCTACGGGTGGTGCAGGGCGCGTGGCGCGGGATGACAGGGTCTTAGCGACCTGAGAGGTGGCCTTGTGCTGGCTTGGACGAGGGGCGCGGGGACATCCGCGATAATTGGCCGTATGGCCTTGGTTGCCGCAGAGCACGCAGCTCGGCGGGGTGGAGGTGCCGCTCTCGCGGGGGCACTGCTTGGTGCCGTGGTCACCCAACTTAACGCAGCGCTCGCGCGCGAAGCAGTTGCGAGCGGAGTGGCCATATAGTTGGCAACGATGGCACTGGCCAGGGTAAGACCGCTTGTTTGGCGGTTCGATTGTAAGGCCTGATATTAGACAGACCTGTTGAATATTGAAGATGGTTTTCCCCTCTGGGGAGAGGTCGAGGACTACCAGCACCATGTCGAGAGGTGCCTTGGTCCTAGATCTGATCATCCTGTGCACTTCGTGCACCGGGTAATTTTGGGCCCGAAGGTCCGCCAGGACATCCTGGCAGTCCAATTCGCGGGGGACTCCGCGGATCACCACCCGCAGGCGCTTTTCTTCCTCTAGGGCGTAAGTGTGGTACCCCACACTATTAGCCCTTAGGAAGGACGTGAGCTGGCGGTGGTCCGCTGAAGTGGGGACCACAACCCTGATACCCACCGAGGTGACCCTCGCGTGGGTGAAATTGATGCGCCTCTCCTTGAGGGCGCCGGACACTTTATTCCAGGCTGCTTTGTCCTGGATAATAATTGGGGGCGGTTTTTTGTCTCCCGCGTGATCGCGGGTCGCGGGAGCAGCGGTTCGGACGGATGCGCCGTCGTTGGCGCGCTGGGTTTTGGGCGGGGGCAGATCGCGAGCCCGCCGCGTGCGTTTGGTGCGCTTGGCACCGACTACTACGAAGTCGTCCTCCGACGACGAGGAGTTGCCCGAAGGCGAATCGTCCTTGGGGGGGTCGGCCGGAGCGTCAAGCTCCATACCGGCCGGGGAAGAGGGACGGCTGGTCTCGCCTAGCTCTGCACCGGCGCTAGGCGAATCTGGGGGAATTTCCCCAGGCTGACAAGTGGCGGACGCCGGCGAGGCGGGAACTCGTTGGAAGGAAGGCCTTGATGAGGCCGGGACCGAACTTCGCCTCTATAAAGGCGAAGAACCGCGGGAGGTCTTCCTGCGTCAGCGACATGCTGGCACAGTCGACCCCCAATAGGAAAAATAAAAATTATTCTAATGAGATTATCACCCAACTGGAGTCGGGTGTAATTAAATAAGAATAGTACTAATCGTTAACAATTTTAATTAAAAGCTAAAAGTTAGAAATTAATAAAAATTTAACTACTAATAGGCCCTTGGAGTGTAGTCGAGATGGCGGGCGAAAGCCGCCGCTCGACGGTTTGTTTACCTCCCCGCCGCGAGGGGCAGGGGGGGTGTGTGCCTAACGGTTTTTAACGGACGATGATGCAATGCAATAAGTAATTACTTATTATCCTAGCACGA